CTCCTCTCACAGGTGAAGTGTGCGCAGTACTGGCCATCTCCAGATCGAGAGACGGAGATCTTTGAGGAGTTTATTGTGAAGCTGAACTCAGAAGACTACTGCCCAGATTACACCATCCGCCATCTCAGCCTAACTAATGTAAGTCTAACACAATGTAATTAAATAAATGTATATTCTTACTGCGGGCCACACAGTTTTGCATGTGTGTCTGTGTAGAAGTGACAGTCAGTATATCTGTCCATCTTTATCTCAATAGATATACTAATACTGATTAGATATAAATACATCTGTGTATGTGTTTGTTTCGGTGCATGCTTGGATAACCCTCTGTGTGTATGTGTGTGTGTGCTTGCAGAAGAGGGAGAAGAACTCAGAGAGGGAGGTGACCCACATTCAGTTCATGAGTTGGCCAGACCACGGAGTCCCAGGGGAGCCACATCTTCTCCTGAAACTGAGGCGGCGTGTCAATGCTTTCAAGAATTTCTTCAGTGGCCCCATAGTCGTTCATTGCAGGTAAGTTCAAGGTCCTGTTCTCAGCCAGCTAACATTCACTTCAAAATGTGCATAAATATCAACATTTGCACTGGATTTATTGGCATAAAGTAAAGTCTGACTAGATCACTTTCTTTCTACTAATCACCAAAGACAGCCTGCCTTTTTGTGCACACAGTAGGTTTTTTAAAGTGTCTTTCCACACACATTTCTGCACTTGCTTTATCGTCTCCATGATTAATAATTGAGAAACAACTGATTAAAATATGTCATTGGGAATCAGGGGACTCATCAGGCCATCTCCCCTCTCTATTTAATTCCAAACTAACACTTCACTTCCACTCTACTTGCCACCAATAAACATAGATATAAAAATATATTAACACAATGTTATTATCTCATTCGTAGTGCGGGAGTCGGCAGGACGGGCACCTACATTGGCATTGATGCCATGATGGAGGGTCTGGAGGCAGAGGGCAGAGTGGACATCTACGGTTATGTAGTCAGACTGCGCAGACAGAGATGTCTAATGGTTCAAGTAGAGGTAATATATGAATTCAGATTGTATTTGGGACAATGTGTGTGTGTGTGTGTGTGTCTTAAGAATTAGAGTTAAGTTTAGTGGCTGCATAAGTTGACACACACAAACATACAGGAAGGAAACTAACATGAACATTTAGATAAATAAGGATAAAGTGAGACAAAGATACATAAAAGTAGATGCAGCTATTATGTACAGCAAATAAGTAGAATTAATTAATAATTAATTTAAGACAGAATACTGAAATTGAATAATTACTTGGCAAACTTTTTCCTTTTTATTCAGAGTTTATTCATGCATTAAAAGTACATGTAATTAATACATTTACCTTTTTATCTGTCACTTTATTGACTGATGACACTGTGAAAGTCCATTATGTGCAGCTAATACACAAAACATCTTGAAGGAGTTACACTAGGACATAGTATACATACTGTATACAGTATATAATACGTGGCCATTTCAGGGTTATTTTAGAGAAACTGAAGTGAGATCTCACATGGCTGGTTTAACTGTTCATGACTGTGCTGGTGTGTGAAATGAAACTGTTCTTGTCTGTGGTTATTTTGGCGCTCATCGTTGTCTAGCGCCCACCAGAGGGCAGAAGCTGAAGTAGGTTGTGTCTGAGCATGTGCAGTATATGTATGTGTTATATTTTCATATATTTGTACATTGGGTGGACAACATATTTAGAAGGCTGTGGGTTGTGTAACTTAATAGCAGTTTGTCCTTTGCATATATGTTCCATCCATTAAGATAAATACTTTTTTCCTCACACAGGCCCAGTACATCCTGATTCACCAGGCGCTGATTGAGCACAATCAGTTTGGAGAGACTGAGATCACCCTGCCTGAGCTCCACAGCACACTGAGCACGCTCAAACAGAACAACTCAGGCAACGAACCTACGTTAATGGAGGAGGAGTTTGAGGTATGGCACTTTAATATTTATCTTATTATTTATAAATGATGCATTCATCTGTAAAGCAATGCATTGTGGCCACTTTTACATAAATTAGATTTTGTTTGATTTAAGTAAGCAACTGACTTTTGTAAAACTGCATCTCTAACCACATAGTAACATGTGTGGTAACAGTGTATGAGGAAGAGACAATATTGTAAATCACCTAAAACATCTCAACTTAATAGCACTAAACATCTTTTACTATCATTAAATGTGTTTCTGATCCCTTTAAAATATATTTTAAAACATATTCCTTCTATCCTTTTCCTTTTTCCCTTCCAACCTTGTATTACTTGATTTGGAAGAATTTACAGGCATTGATGTATCACTATAAATGACTTAATAATTAAATAGTCTTTGTTTTGCAATTCAGAGAATCCCCACCTTTAAAAACTGGAGGACATTCAACACTGGGATCACAGAAGAAAACAAGAAGAAGAATCGCTCTTCATATGCCATCCCATGTGAGTATTAGCTCAACAGGGACAAGCTAGTCACTAAAGAATAACAGCTATTGTATATTAGTGTGTGTGTGCAGTATGTTTATAGTTTCACTTGAGTCACAACATATCAAACCTGCCACATTCAGATGACTTCAACCGGGTGTTGCTGAAGCTTGATGAAGGACACAGTCGTGATAGTGAACCTGATGAGGATGATGAGGAAGAGTCATCAGATGAGGAGGATGAGGAATCCACAAAGTACATCAATGCCTCCCACATAGATGTAAGTTTATTTTACTGACACTTTCAGTTTATCTACTAACCTGTTTCTGCATAAAACTGAATGCCAGGTTTGTTTAATTGAAACATGACAAACTGTGTTCTTGTTACCATCTTTCCTGTGGTAGCAGGTGTTATCTCATTAACTCCGAATGAATTCTCATCTTTCATGCAGCCAGTTGAATTTTAAAACAAGTGTAATTAAATTCATCACATCCTATTTGTTTGGACTGTGTACAACAATAGACGGATGTGTTTTCTTGCCCACACAGGGTTACTGGGGCCCACGCACCTTCATCGCAGCACAGACGCCACTGCCAGACACCATGGCTGACTTCTGGTCGATGGTTTACCAGAAGAAAGCATCTACTATTGTTATGTTGTCAAACTGCAGTGAGGGAGACAAGGTACCTAAAGTGTCACATAGTGATGTATAATATTATATGCGCCTTACATTTACAATACACTTCTTAAGACATATATTGTAAATGCACTGGTTTTCTTGTGTCTTCACAGGAGTCTGACTGTGTCTACTGGGATAAAGATAAGAAATCATTTGGAGAGTTTGAGGTGGAGGTGGCAAGCACAGACACCTCCCCAACTTTTATCACCCGCAACATGCTGATCCGTCATGTCAAGGTAACACAATAACAGCCAAATCGGTAGTTCTAACAAAGTCTGCTCTGTTTGCATGTTTATCAGTAAAAAATAGTAAAAATCCGATACAATTACTAATTACCTTTTAAAAAATGCAACCAGTAACCTAATCCAAGCATTACAATGTTAAAGTTCTGTTACTTTTAGATTAACTCAACGCCAAATGTATAAATAGAGACAAGAGAAATATCAATAACAGAACAATGTAACCTTAGAAAAGAAAATAGGGAAACCAAGATTTTAAGAATCAAAATGTGTTTCTACTTTTAACTTGCACTTTACTTGCACTAATATATCATTCTTTATTTGTTTATGTGTTATTGTAATCCTGCTAATAATGGGTAATGTAATTGTAATGGATTACAATCAGGTAATCCATTACAGTGTCAGTGTCAGCCTGTCGTTTGACTGGTCATTTCAGCATCACAAGATATTTTAACACCTCTTCTGTCGACAGAGGAAAGAGAGTCGGCCGGTGAAACACTTCCAGTTCCTGAAGTGGACGAGCGAAGAGCTGCCGGAGAAACCTCAAGATCTCACAGACATGATCAAGGACATCAAGCGCAGCTGTGGCAGCAGCAAATCACAGAGGAACATACCCATCGTGGTCCACTGCAAGTAAGACAACCTCACAGAAAATGTCGTCTGGAATCATAAAGGGGCAGTATGTCTATGACCATGACACATCCAGTTTTTTCTCATAAAGCTTTCACAGCTTTCAAAAAGCTAAATTTGGAGCCTGTAAACTCTTTTGGAAGAAATATCTTCCCCAACCTACTTGAGTTTCTGGGCAGACCCAAGTTGTGATTCCTTCAGCTTAAAGAGCTTGATAAAGGTCACATGTCATTTGACACCAAGCTATACAGTGGCGTACAGCTCCACTCCCTTGTCCCACCTATTGTTACCTCATTACAAGAAAGACATATATGAATATGTATATGATTCTCTTCTGTGTGGAGTTTGTATGTTCTTTTCTCCAGCTGGAATAGACTAAAGACACAGAATCATCTATAGGTATGAACTGGATTGAACAAATGAGCCCATATTTCTCAAACTTCTAAGCATTACACTTGTGAACAATAAAATACATTTATTAACCTATACAGCAAAGTATAAGAGGAACATTTATGAACAGCTCTCCAGTGATCACATGATTGATGTATGAACAGAGCACAAATAGTTATAGTTTTGTTTGTGTGAAATTCTAAACATCCAATCTAATATATTCAGAATATTTAGGGATAAGCAGGTTGATAAATAGGATATGCTGCAGTCCACTATTACCCGGAAAAAGTGTAGCTGAAGGGATTCATGGGGGAATTGACTAATGTGTGTAATCTTAACCTTTTTATATGTGTGTTTGTTCCCTCTCCTCAGTAATGGCTCGACCCGTTCAGGGATTTTCTGTGCTCTGTGGAACCTGCTGGACAGCGCTGAAACTGAGAAGCTGGTAGATGTTTTCCAGGTGACCAAAACCCTGCGCAAGGAGCGACAGGGCATGTTGCCGAGCCTGGTAAGAAAAAGAGGAACTTGGGGGCTACCAGATAGCTCACCTGGTCCTTGTCAGGTGGACCAGGTTGGAGTCATACCTGTGGCCCTTTGCCATGTGTCATCCTCTCTCTCTCTACCCTATTTCCTGTAAGCTGGCCTGTCTAATAAAAAAAGGGGGAAAGGCCCCTCCCCCCCCACCCAAAAAAAAAACATGAAAAGAAAGAGGAACTCAATATCTATCTGTCAGCACACAGTTTCACAGCTTTAACTTCTAAAAGTGCGTAGAGTGAAAAGTAACTGACTGTCAATAATGGACAGATATTTGTATATACCTCTTTCTTTCCATTTGTTATTTTACATCACAATGCTTAAAGGTCACTTTGAATGCCCCTTCAATTCAGTTTTTTGCTTATAATGTTGTTTTGAAGAATTATGGTCATTATATTCTATATTTCTGTTATTGTCAACAAATACCATGAAAAGACCAAAACTAACTAGTTTATCTGTCAGTACTCTCTGACTTCCTTAGCCCGTCTGTGAGACCCAAGCCCATTAGTCTTACTGATGATGTAAATCTTGAAAAACAAGTCACTTATATCTACTTTCATTTTTATAAGCAGCTAAATGATGTCCTAAATCAGTAGCAGGATGTTCATTGTTGGTTTTGGCCTATCATTCAAAGCTGTTTTCTGGTGCTCTCTGTGTGGTATTGTTTCGTTTATGAAAGGTTTGTGATAATATGATCTTAAAAATTAAGAATAGAACCTTATCTTTATGATACCACTTATATCTGTCTGTCTCTAACAGGAGCAGTACCAGTTCTTGTACGACGCAATGGAGGGTGTCTTCCCTGTCCAGAATGGGGAAGTGAAACCAGTACAGGCCTCTGCAGCCGACTCTGTCCAGATTGTCAATGAAACCAAAGCAGCAGTGCAGCCAGCTGAAGAGAAGGCTGAGCAGCCAGCTGAAGAGAAGGCTGAGCAGCCAGCCAGCACTACCAGCAAAGAACAGCAGGAGGCAGCAGAGAGTGCTCCTCTTGTGGCTGATGGAGGGAAGGAAGACAAAGAAGAGGAACCTGAAAAAGTTTCCACAGAAACAACACCACTGGAGGACAAAAGCAACGGTCCCACTGTCACTGTGGTCTGAGAGGGGTTGCAGGGGTTTTGAAAATAATTGCTTCAGCTGAATGCTTTCTTTTAATATACTTTATGAATGTATAAACATTGTAAAAGTTTAACACAGTGTGGTTTTGGTTGAAATTTGTTAAAGAATTTGGATCAAATGTTTTAATGTCAATTTCCAAAACTATGAATTAAACTAAGTTATAAATATTTTAGTAGTAAAAGTATTAGGATGCAAATATATTATAATTTCTGTGAGCAAAGTTTACTGGATGCTGTTGTCAAACTAGGAACCTTGAATTTACTGTATAGTTAGATATCTAAGAACTAAATTTTAAATATACAGCAGATGTTGTTTCATAACCCTTTATATTTTAGTTAGTTTATGTATTAATTTTCTTGCTAAATAATGATGATGCTATAGTCTACATTTATATATATCTGATATAGCTGTTATTCAAAATAAGTTCAAAATTTGTTATGTGACACTGTGACATTTCATTAAAAGACTTACAAAGAAAAATATTTATGCAGAGTATTTGCTGTGATTTTAAAGTTTTGTTTTTCATCATAGACTAATAACTTCATAAGGCTGGATTTACCAAGTCAGTCACATCTTTTAAAGGCCCCAAAAACCCATTTTCTATCAATCTCTAACATTTTCTCACAGTCTCACAGAGGTTTCAGTGCTCTTCTGACTGATTTGAAGTGGGCAGGGCTCTGTTGGAAAAACAATGTCACATATTTCCATTCAGTCATCAAAAATTAAGCAAAATCTGAGTTAAAATCTGAAAACGGCTAGTGATCATTAAAAGATGTGACATATGGCGAAACAGTAGGGTGTGTGACTAAAGGTTGCCTGTTTCATTTCAAGTTCAAGTTAAATCCCAAATACCCACCACTGGAGTGCCTTTGAGCAATGGACTTAACACCAGACTGCTTAATAGACAGTGGTTCAACTGGTCAAGAAAGCTGCTCAGATTTAAACAAAAAGTCACTCAAAAAGGTATCATAAAAGACCCCAGTAATTTAACTTTTAAATGAAAGAAATTTTTAAATCAAGCAGTTGTGTAATATTGTCACCAGGGCAGTTACAAATTTAAGGACACACAAGATATAAACATAAACAGTTTCACCAACATTCATGACAGTCAATAAGCAAACGCTTTTATGAAGCTCGAGTCTCAATCACATTTTTCTGATCGTAGCTGAATCTTCCATTGATTCACTGAATTCCCAGCTACAGTTTTTGGTTAAATCTCTAAATATCCATCACAAATAAAAGTACAGTGTATAAAAAGAATAGTCTATGTATAAAACCATCAAATACTATCAAACCTGTGCTTCATTCACACCTTATACAAACTGAACTTCAGATCTTTCTATGTTAGAGGCTCAGAGAGGGTTTGTGAACATAATAAATACCAGAACTATTGCAGCAACAACATGTCAGTTAAGATAAAGACATATACCCATTATTGTAGTGGTAAAAATAAAAAAATAAAAAACAGTCACAGAGGATTTAATAGCTTCCTAATTCAGACAGTGTGGCCTGTGGAGTTAGAGCACAGATGTCCACAATAAACTGAATTAAATATAGTGTTATGATATGATACAATGATACAGTCAACTGTTGGCTTCTTATGTTCATGCATCAAACTCAACAATACTCAGAGGTGAGTGAAAATACAGTTTTTGTACTAATATAATACTAATATATTAGAGCTTAACTTTACTTCTGCGGGTTAAAAAAATATTGCAGAATAGCATAGTTTTCGTGGGAAATAAATGGTTATTATTTTCTAACCAATAAATCCATTCATGCAAATCGTCTTGCACAGATGGTTCCATTACCATAAAAAAATTTAAATGGGTTTATAAAATACTTCTAATATATTCAACAGCTGCTTATACATTGTTTTTTTGTTTTTTTGCAGGAAATAGAAGAACCATTAAAGTGCTTTCTACCACATGGAAGTTGATAATATAGTTTGTGTGACTTTCAGTCACTTATTGTCATAGTGGGTATTTCCGTTATCAAACATGCTACAGTACCAGCTCTTGGCTACCATGCAACATTTTATATTTTAAAATGGCATCAAACATACTGTAGTGTGGTTCAGGTTGGGGTGGATTCTTATTAAACCCCACTTTTGCATTTCCCTGATGTACAAGCCTTCCTATTATTGATTTAACATCTCATTATGTACTTGAGATTTGTACAAAATCTTTGGCCCATTCTGTCCATACAAGGTTATGATTTGTTGCTGAGCCTCAACTATTGCTAGATTAAACAGGACACACTTGAGTGAACATACATTTCCCTGAATTCTAAGCAGCAAACTTACTTTCACTTCTGTCCTTATCAGAACTTGATCATTCTTCACTTGTTCAGCTTCACAAGTCACAACTCAATCACTCACAAAACACCTTTTCTTCCGGTTTATACCAGCAGCAGCTATTTAAAGGACCAGTGTGCAAAGTTTAGGAGGCTCTATTGGTAGAAATGTAATATAATATTCACAAAAGTATTGTTTCATTTATTGTTATAATCAAGACTTTTACCTTAGAATAAGAAAGGGTCCCCTTCTACTTAGGCCACCATGTTGAACAGCCATATTTCTACAGTAGCCCAGGAAAGTAGCCCCTCCGTAGTTTCTCCTATACGCTTGGAAGGGGAGGGTGAGGTGAGGAGTTATCAGATGGTTGAAACTTCACTGCTAAATGTCACTAAATCCTACACACTGGTCCTTAAAATCTCATAACTAGGGTGAGTAGTAGTTAAGGCTACTTCTAGGTTTGTGAACCTCTAATGCATTGAGAAAAATAATGTTCTGGCTCACCTCTTTGAGGTGCCAAAGAACAGAGAAAATGGCCAAAATAGTAAATGTACATTTTCAATCAAGAAATGCTTTCCCACCTCTACAAGAGGTGAGTTTTGAAATTCATCATTATATGGAAATTAAAAATTCTAGCTACCAAACATACACAGATAGACATTTCACATGATTGTATCAATATTTTAAACCCCAAGTAGGCTAATTTACCATCTAGCTAGTTTCCATAAGGTTTAGACTCGTCTGCTGCTTTATGTAGGGCAGCGTAACAGGTAGTCAAGAGCATATTTCATACAAACCATTTGTTTTGCTTTTCTTTTCCCACATTTTAGGAATGACCAGGCAATCAAGTGTTATCTTTTTTTAAATTTGGCTGACAATATGGGAGGTGACACTTTTTGATTTGTCCACAAAAGTCAAATGTTATCACTTTTGCCACTTGACAACTGTTGATTTTCACCTTCGCCCTCATGGCTGTATGTTATTGTTGATGTCTTTTGCTCCACCTACCCTGGCATCATCACCACCCTTCACTTCAAGGCACAGCTATATCTTTCACGCTGTATGCTGAGGACATTGAGCTGTAAGCTGAAGAATGGACCTTCAGCATCCATTAATGGAGTTCCAGTTCCTCTGCCCTTCAGCTCAGCAGCTGACATAACTGGAATCAGACATTATTTCTCTTTACTTGTGCAACCTTTAGCTGAACCATTTCAAATAAACTGGCTCAGTTTTATTTTGGCTCAGCATCGGGTTTAACAGCTAAAACCAGCTCAGTTTATCAGGACCCACAAAGTGCATGGCCAGCTGATATAGTGTAACAACCACTGGAAGCTCCGGCTTTAATCTTCAGTCATTTCTTGTCCGTGATGTTTGGCTTCTCCTCTGTGCCGTCGTTTGATGAGGTCTGCCTAGCAGTTGCAGGTCGGACTTTGCAAGGGTCCAATGCAGCTTTGGTGCTGTCAGTTTGGGCTTTGGCAGTCTCTGGACGTGTTTTGGACTCCTTCTTTGGCGGTGGAGGGGTGGCCGGCTCCCAGAGGAAGAACTCATGCAGTAGCGTGTTGACAGCCTCGGGACACTCCATCATGATCATGTGACTACCATCCTCCAGGACCTTCAAGAAGGCCATTAGGAGGATCTGACAGAAAGCAAAAAAGAAGTTAGATTTTGAAATTATCATCAAAACCACTTGTGCCAAGGCGCTTGTGCCACTTGTGCCAAGGCACTGCCCTGGTTGCAATTATGACCCCAATCTTTTTTAGTAATGAAATTTGGTGGGACACAGACAATCACGTTTCATTGTTGAGTTCACTGAAGGGAAAAATCAGGGAGAGTCTTCTAATATACTTTTTTAGAGTGCTTCTACACAACAATCCCTAACTCCTAAAGTAATTGCAATGTTTAAACCCCAATTTCTTATACTTTACGTTACTGTTGATCATTGTTGACAAAAGCAAACCTTACACCTACAATAACCGATCTTGCCACTTGGTGGCTGCAGAAACAAACTGTTAACACAACACTGACATATCACCTTTAAAGTTGCTATATACTGTGAACTTTTTAGCAAACATTTGCCTATTTCCACTTCCTACACACACAGAAACATTAAAATTTAGTAAGGTAAGGTGATCATTTTCTGTCATAGTTATGTGATTGTTAATACAAAAATATTAATTATAGCTGCTTTAAGATTTTTAAATTGATTTTTTTTATTTGTTTGATTATGGTATGAAAACTATAACACACCATGACAACAGTGTATTTAGTAGGGTCAGTTTAACAATCTGAATCTTGGGCTAAAAGAGGCCCACTCACCTCTGCCATTCGCTGGTCCTCTTCGACTGGAACAAACTTGTCGTGCATGCCATGAACCAGCAGGGTGGGCACAGTGAGTTCAGCATGGTAGACCTCGTCCCCCTCAGGCCAGTACTGACCACTCATCATGGCACGGAGCACAAAGGACGACACGTTGAAGGCATTGTTGTCTTTCAGCAGCTGCTTCTCCTTGGCACCCTGCCGAGCAAAGCCAGCCCTGTAGGGAGCAGAGCAGGGGAGATTTACCTGAATTACAAATGGCTTAAAAATGAAATATGCATAGTAATTATTTTGGCTGGTAAAATCATCTGAAGCAGTTCATTATTGTTTTGTCTACTAATTAAAGACAGATCAACCAAAAACAACAATTTTGTCTCTGTTACTGTTATTGTTGTTACTGTGTTGCTGTCTTACTTGAGAAAGCTCCAGGCTAGCAGCGGAGAGAGGCAGTGAAGCACACAGGTGGGCAGGTTGAAGATGGAGCAGAGGCTGGGCTCCAGAGCTGTGGGACCACCTCCGTTGACCATCACCATTTTGTGAATCTGTTCCGGATACTCATGGGCCAGGAAGGTACAGAACGACACGCTATGCAAGCAGAACAGAGGGCTGGTTAGAGGACAGGCTAGAAGAATCAGGGTAACCATGCTGTTTGTTTTGTGATAGTTTTCTTGTAATAGAATGTACATATCTGGAAAATGAATCAGATGGAATAAAAGCACTTTAGCACTGCAATATTGAATAGCAACTGTAAAATAAATATAGGATTGTTTTGTGTATTGTAGTGCATGACATGTCTGTTCTTCAGTGTATTTCATATATAATGTAAGAAATTTGTAAAAAATATTTGTGAAAGACATTAATCATATAAAAGGGATAAAGCAGCAAAAACAAAAGGTTTGCCCTTTTCACTTACTAAATGAATGAAATGGTTTAGCAATTATGAAAGCTTCTGTAGATTCAATAAATGAACATAAATTATATATGTCAAAGTTCACTTCACTGGTAATGTACTTGATGTGACTACAGAATACTGTATGTAAATGA